ATCGGTGGTTTTACTGGACACTTCTGCTTACTCCGGCAATAAAAAATGGCCACAACGATATAGCCAAGAGTGCTGAAAGTGGCGTTAAAGACCATAGGATGGAATAGATTCATTTGTATGTCCCGGTTTAAGCTCATACCTTTTGATACCTTTTGATATGAGAAAGTACATTTTCTTAACTATCGAGAAACGTGCCATCTGCATAACTTTAATTTAATACAAATGCTGTTAGCAGGTTAACATTAGAGAAACATACATACGTCGTCGTTTTGCCGAACAGTTTGTTTTCCTTGCAATTGACAATCTTTTACCATGTAACAGCATCACAGAAATGTTTGGGTAACCGTTCATTTTTTAAATATACATATAGACGGAGTTTTGAAGCAATGACAACCCTTTGAACAACAAATTGTTTTTCATCATAAAATAAAAGACCTAACAACTGTTCCCAAAACATTACACACAAGACTGAACATCAAGCAATACGAAACCCAACAAATTCTGCGAGGAACTCGGGTACTTTGGAAACGAAACTGGAATGCATGAAATGATATATAAGGAAACACTTTACAAGCGTTTAGCTGTTGTTGTTTCCCTTTAAGTGACAAGGGCATATAAACTAAAGTATATTTTACAAATGAGATATAACATACTGATGGCATATAGGTGTGACGGGAAATTTTATTCATTATAATAAAAGTGTAAAAAGAAAAGGAAATAAACTAAAAAAATCTTTTACCAATTTATCTTTTTTTCGCTGCAAATTATCTGTTAAATTTGGTTAATAATTTGTTTGTCATTAAATTTCTTTCAATGGGGAAATTATGAATATAGATATATTATCTATTCATAACAAACTATATCTGTAATCATGAGACACGACTCATTTCTACAAACTGCCATTCTTCATATTTTACTGACAGTATTCTCTTTTGAAGAATAATTGTTATATAATATGCAATATATTACAAACATTTTTTTGACAATATTTATATGAAATATGACTCTTTATTATTGCAACCTTCAAATGATGTTAAATGAATAAAATGCATATACGTAAAATGTTATTTCATTTTTCACATTTAATGCAGCTAATTAAATTTTTTTCTCTTTGACTCTTGTTTTATTGTTAATAAAATAACGTGAAAATGCTATTTAATTTTTTTGTCGGTTAAAAGTATGGGTCGATACCCGTATGCGCCTAAAAATTAATTAATTTGCGCTACATTCATATGCGCCAATGCTATTTTGATCTACGTTTGACACTAAATTTTGATGAATGTGGGATTTTCTAGATAAAGAAATGTAATAATACATTCAGAAAGTGAACCATCAAGTGAAGCGTTCATAGTTTAGTATATTGGAAAAATCGGTCCATGAAAACTGATATGGCAGCTTCAATTGTAAGACGATGTAACTCGAGGTAATGTTCTCGTAATAAATTTCTAAACATTACTACCAATCAAATGTATTAACTTTATACTAGTATAATTACATTACATGTATGCTTCATTATAATACGTTATTTCTGAAATTAACCTTTATTTCAAAACAAATTGAAATGTAACATTCATGATGACACGAGCTTCCACAATAAAGTGCACAGGTAAATAATAGAAAAACTTGATAGAAATCGTGTTTTCATGCATGATCCTAGCCAAAAAATGTAATTATAAATGTATAAGATTCCGCGCTTCATACAAAATGTACTTCGGTCAACGCTTTTACACCCCAATAAATTTTAAAAAAAGAAGCATTCAATTCTTAAATATAAAGATAAAATTGTATTTGGTGAGTTGTGCTTGAACCTCATTAATTTAAAGAAAGTATCGTGGAATATGAGTGTACTATCTTTGTTTTTTGTTTTGTGTCACCCAAATTTTGATTGGAAAGTTTTTGTAGGAGGTAGATATGACTTAATAAAACTTTCAACTAGATTTTCTACCACCTTTTCAGAGGCCTTTATACAATCTCGTAAACGCAACTTGTCCGCTAAATCTGGCATTGTATTTTATAAATGAATGAACGAATGAATGAATGAATGAATGAATGAATGAATGAATGAATGAATGAACGAAAAGGGAAATGAGAGCTGAATTCTCTTGGCATAACATATCGCGATGAAATAATCTTATCTGTTAAGATGATTTGTAAACTTATCAAGTCGTTGATGGAGAGGGATCTTCAACAACTGATTTAACATTTGTTATCTAGGAAGAGAATTTAAAGTGGTTTTAAGACTATGAAGTTATCTTAGACGGCACTTTTGAGTGTTATCTTTACAGAAACAACTTGTATATTTAATGATATATACAATCTGCTTTACTGATTGGCTTTAAGGAAATGTCGTTATATTGAAGAGGTCTTTGAAATTTGCATTTTACAAAAAGTGTGGTCCTTTTTTGCAGACTAAGGCCAATTTCCATTTTTGAGTAATAACATTCTCACAACGTGTGAAGTGTTATTTCTCTTTTTGGAGTAATTGATTATACGTACGTTGTTGATTTTCATTTACATGGCAGTATGCCTTCTTTCAAGAGTTAATTTGATATGTAAAAAAAATGACTTATATCAGGTGGATATCTTGATAAGTTTTGTTATTTTGGGGAATTTTGTGTTCATGGTATACATCTTTGATATTCTTTTTTAAATTTATACAATATTTCTAGACTCTAAACTAGAGCTTGACACACCTATTGAAGGCCGTTTTTTGTTTACCTCTACATGTCTTACAATTGGTATATGTTTCGGTGTCCCACTGACGTTTATCCCATATCTATACTTTTACTCATTTAACAGACATTAATGTCTCGGGAACTACTTTGTACGAGTTATATTCAGACTATGCTTCTGAGTTTTGGGTGACTATTAAGAATCAGCAACGCAAAAACAACCAAAAAGCAGTTTCAACAGAATAATCATTTATAGATGACCTCGCGTGCATTCCTGTCACAAAGGTCGTACAATTTATGACCCTGTAGTAAGTATATATGTATAGTTTGTTAAAATTAACGATTTAATAATTTTCAAAAAATACTTATATACGTTTCAAAGATTATTCAACAGTATAACTTACTTTGGAATGGGATGGACTTTCACGGAGTTTCATTACTTACATTTTGATACTTGTGGGTTGATGACTTAATATGCCAAGTTATCCTTCTATATAATTGATATTTTCCCCAGAACAGGAAAATATAATGATAATGCCAAATTTATTAGAATGCAACACACAATTAAACCATGCAAAATGAATGATCGCATTTGAACCTCCAGATTCTAAATCCCTGCTGTCACTATTATAGTTTTTCATCAGAAACTTGGGTTATGAAAACTTTGAACAGGAAAATATTGTCAAATTCATCCGTTGTCACTTTCAAAGACTTATAACAAAAACTTGGTCAAAGAAAAGGCGGGAGTTCGATTTTTACAAAGAGAAAATGGCCCCAATTAAGATCTCACAGAATAACTATATGCATTGCACTTTCACCCCCAGTTTTTGGTGGGGTTCGTGTTTCTCAGTCTTTAGTTTTCTATGTTGTGTTTTGTGTACTATTGTTTGTCTGTTGGTCTTTTTCTTTTTTAGCCATGGGGTTGTCAGTTTATTTTCGACTTATGAGTTTGAGTGTCCCTTTGGTATCTTTCGCCTCTCTTTCACTGTGTATTCTGAGTTTTACCATTTTGAGAAGGCGAATTAGAAATCGTACAAGAGTGCGGAGAAAGGGGAAATAAACTGGTGTCTAAGAAGAAGACAGAGATATACATACAATAATGAATACTTAACACTTTTTTTTTTACATTATTCCATAAAATCAGTAATGTTTTTTCAGATCTAAATGTCAACGTTTTGTAAATTTTGCATCGAAGATTGTCTCAAACCAAAATGAATTAAATTGTATCCGAAAGACAATATATGGCTTCACTTCCAACATAGTTTTGGTTTTGGTTAAGGATGTTTTAAAAATTGCGGTTTTGTCCAACCTTCAGTAGTTTATAATTAGGTTATCTGTAAAGAAATAACCAATGATATATCCTGTCGGAAACTATTAGTACACACATGGTGCTATGAAACTGTGAATTTAAATAAAGATTCAAAGCCTGACTTCTAGAAAATTGCCATATTGTGACATAAATACAGGGGAAATTGGTCCTACGTGTACCTCTTTGAATTTATCGCTAAAATGTCCTACGCCTATCTGTTGTTTCTGTTGGCTCGACTAGCGTATTTTCTAACTTTTATTTGATAAAATTGCATGCATTTTTGTATTCATGACTCTTTTTTCTACTTTCATTTTTGTTTAACTTTATTCTATGTTATATTCATTTTGTTAAATTACAAGTCCTTATTAATTTCAACTTTAATTCAAGATGTTTAATTTTGAATATTGAAAATAAAAGCTAAAATGTTAATGATCTAAAAATCATTTTTGACTGTTACGAATAACGTATAAGTAGCAAGATTTTTTGTATTAACCGGTAAAGCGCTTTGAGCTTGCTTTCATTAACTACGAGCATTCTTTAATAAGGATTAGTTTGTTATTTCTTTATATATCATAAACCCTTTTTTTAAAGAGTTAAATGTTTTCCCTGTACTGGTTTTATATCAAATGTTCTTTTATGTAAAAGCACTTTATGTTCATCTACTGATCGAGATTACACTAAGGTTTACCCCGTTACATTTTCAAGTCTTTGTCCCAAGTCAGGAAGCAGTTGTCGTATGTCATATCTAAATGGGCTTTTTTCACAGAAGTAATTTGGAGAATTAGTTTGTAATAGCATATATCTTTTATTGTTTCTGTTATAATTCACAGCTTGTATAGACTCTGGACATTTAAAAGCTTGGTCTATGGCAGACACTGTCTATTTTTTGAAGACTACATATTACTATCTTAATGTTCTTATTTTTTCCGTTGGGTTGCTCTCTCATTAACATATATCCTACATATCCTTTCATTTCTGAAATAATATAGTAATTACAAACAAATAAAGATATCTTGCATAGTAAGAAATTGCCTTTAATCAGAAAAATAACAATAAATATAATATATTAAAATATGAATAAAATTCAATTGTAATTTTCCCTTGTAGGCTCCATAAATTTGAAACGAATCGTACAATGTTCAGTGTCTGTGATGGAGAATGTTACTCTCTGGCACAGAATCGTGACACAACAATCAGGTGTGATAATACAGCTCTACAACTGTGTGGCAACCATTTACCTGTTTATAGAGAAAAATACATGTAATTAATTACTTATGATATACAGATTATTGGAATGCATTTGTATAATTTGTTGTAATGGCAATTTCAAGTTCATATCTAAGTGCCAATATAAAGGCATAGCATATTTCTGTATTCTTTTATGAAAGGCAAAGGAGGTATCATTTTAATTTATCAACGTAATGATTTCTGTACTTTTAAATATATAACATGATTTAAATATGAATGATTTTTCTTTATATACAACTTAATTATTTGAATTTCTATTAGAGGATTTTGTACAGCTGAAGAAGAAGAAATTCTCTCAGAAAGTAAAAAATTTCTTCCCAAGACGATATTGATAGCGTTATTACCAGAGCTCACGTAGCGCAGTTTATTTTTCTTCTATCTGAAAAATACTTTTGGTTTGTGTTTTTAAGTAGCGAAAAACAAAGAATTACATAAAATATTTACGAAATTGGGTAAACTATTGATATATACTTGAATGCGTGTCTGTAGAATCTTAATGATTGTTTAACATACATGTGCAAAATAAACAATTACCTAACTTAAGTAAATAAAGATCGTGTGTCTACATCACACTGCCCTCCTCTCAAGTTCAAGTTTCGTCCCCAGAGAGAAAATAACATGTTTATATTTCACTAACTAGATAAAATAATTAGATATGATTTACCGACTGTTTATAATTATGATGTTATTACTCGGTTTATGTGTGTTGTTGTAGAAATAATTAGCCCCTTGAAGAAGGTTATGTAACCTTCTTGTGAAATATTATTTATTTTTATCAAGATGTTTTAGATTTTACAAAGCACTATAAAGCTACTGAAATGTTTAATTTTCAAAGTCGCGCGAAAATATTGTAATCTAAATATTTTAGTACAACTTCAGGTTTATCGATAAATTCTATTGCATGTTATTATGTATTTCATTTATTATTTATGTTTTATTTATATATGAATTATTTTACTTAGTTAGTAATAACTGGTTTTTTTATATAAATTGATTCATTGCTTTAATTGCGATTAAAATGTTTTTATTTGTTATTTAGTGACTAAATAATAAATTATAACAAATACACTTATTCATTAACACAATACTTGGAAATGTCAACTGTCAAAATATAAAACATATTTTTGATGCAAAATATTGGACAGTTAACACCGTATGTTTGGAACTGATAAAATACTTTATTCATTATTTATTTATTTTTCAATTATTGAAAATTGATGTAATATGTTGTTCGAAATTTATTTTTAAAAAGGAAAAAAAATAGTTAACTTTCATGTTTTGTACTCTAACGCCTATTTGCGATAATTGTATATTGACGGCAGCTGAAATATTTCATAAAATAATATATATTTAAAAAAATGGATTATAGCTCTTCATCTTTTAATAAGCTTTGGATTTTCAAATATTTAGACATCGAGCATCACTGAAGAGACATTTATTGTCGAAAAGCGCAGCTGGTGCAGAAAACATTGGTACCGTTAATGTTATCTCAAAAAGCGAGAAAGATGAAAAAATGTTTTTACTTATTTATTCAAATAATATCACCCAATATATAGTAATTTTAAAACTATTTTCAAATTATACACCGATCTAAGACATGAACTATTAGCTTCTGTTTCAGTTCTTCCTGTCCAAGTTGACACAGATATTTTGCTTTTTGGCTCAACGGTACTCGCAGACGAGCAAATTATTCATTTACTAAGTTTGATGCAGAATCAAACGTTTTAACCCTTGATGTTGCATCGAAAAAGAACCAAAGCATTTCACACAGTATTCATTACAAAATTTCATGTTTATTCTTTTTCTTTTGTTATTTTTTTGTATTCATATATTTATTGCATAGCATGCCAGTATTTATATTTATATAATGCTCAATAAGTGTATTGTTTTTGTGCTGAAGGAGACATGTTTGTAAAAGCAACTTTGCTTGTTTCTGTATCCTAGATATTTATTTCAAGTGTATTATATCGTTATTTCAAATTTCAGATTGGGTTAAAAGAAAAGGAGGGTGTGAATTTCAGTCGCAAATCCTGATAACAAATGTTGCTATTATTACGGAGCTTGCTTGACTTTAAATGAAAAATAAACATCCAGACAGAAAATAAATGAAACGTAGAAAAGTTAATTGTCGAAATATAAATTCTTTATGAGCATGAAAGCGTAGACAGTAGATTGTTTTAGAAGCATTAGAATTTTGCAAATATCCTGTGAATAAATCCACAAAGGGAAGACATTTTCATAATACCGACTTTTTGCTCCGAAGTTTATAATTTTTCGACAGGTTACCTACTTTGTGTACTTTGTGGTATGACATTCTGGTACTCGGTCAAGTAAGAGCAAGTAAAAAAATAAAATCAAGTTTACAATCGGTGCAATTTGGGGAAAAATAGCCGTGTTTTATGTTTTCTTTACAAGATTAAATCATCAGAAAACAGTTAATCCGCCCTATTCATATTTTGGATAACGCACATTCATAATACATGTAGTACAATGTTTCATATCTACATTCTAAAAATCTTTTTTTCAGTAAGTGCAGGCTATTGAACCGAGCAACATTTTGGAAAGTGAATGATGCCACTGAACAGTAGAAAATATCTTAGAAGCTTTTTAAATCAAACGAAAACTAAGACACGTTCGTCAAATCTTTCAACAAGTATTGTTATTTTTTGTTGATTTATGATTTTAACCTTTTTGCTAAATTTCTAGCATTGTTTTATTTTTCAGAATGACAAATTTCTGAAGAATTTGGCAAGAGGGAGTTCAATTTATAAGCGTTGTATTTTTTATAAGTATTTTGTCTTGAATTCATTTCACACCAGGCTCATTTTGCAAAACAAAACTTGTTTAAATTCACTGCATGAATAGGCTAAAACTTGGTAAATTTTGGAAAATTTTGAATATAGTTCTTACAAAAAAAAAGACAATCATTAGAACAATCTTGACTAAAAAGGTTGGATGTAAAACTATGTTTTTCTTTCAGATACAAATCAATTCATGTTGGTTAAGGTTGTCCTTCATCCTGTGACTAATAGATGATGTATTGGTCATCGCAAAATTTTACAAAATATGAGAACTGTCTTCAGCAACAGTTTATAGTGCAGACTGAAAATTTATTTTATGAATGTGTGTAAAATTATTGTAAAATAATTATACTCTTAAATATTAAAATTCCAAAATTTTTTTTTTACAACTTTCTGATTTAGACATTGCGAGTATAAAAAACCCAACGGAAATTGGTCATACCTCTCTAAAGTAATTAGTGATTATTTATTTTAGTATTATATGCATGTATAATAGAAAAGAAAGAAAAAAATAAAACAAAAAATAAAAATGACGTTGTGTATATATACAATTGTATATGATAATTTAAACATTCGGCAGAAAATACAGAATAACTATTTAGTTTTGTAAACTACATATCTGTTCAAAGTTTTAATAATTACATTTTTTTTTATAAGTTACAAAATCATATCGTTGCAAAATGCTCAACTTTTGATTTTCAAGTGATGTTTTCATAACTTATTAACTCTAAGTCTGGATCTATTTATATCTATATATAAATATAAATGTATTTTCAGTATACAAAATCTACCAAAACGACATTTTAATGAACATTCTCTGGTATACAAATATTAGTTTTATTGATTTTCTAAAATGGTCTGATATGGTTTGGGCTCTACTTTAATTATATAAGACATTTTTTGTGTCTTTCGGGGTTTACATATGTTTGAAAACTAACATTACTACTCCTGGTCCGAAACCTCCGTATCTTATGTAGAAGATCATCCATGATTTCATATATCAATATAGTTTCGATCAATATTTAAGAAATTCCTTTAAGACTATTGTGAAATAAATTACTGGTATATGCATGTACAAGATTTATACATACCTCTCGCTCCAGTAGGTATAATGCACCGCCTCTCCCTGTTGTCTGTAAGGAAAAGGAAATGAACTAGAGCCCATCGAACTGTAGTCGTTAAACTGGGGAAATGTTGGTCCAGGATTGTTCATTTGCATGGCTGATTGCATTGCGCTATAACTACAGGCCGCCAAACTGGGACCCGGTGGTGGAACACGGGACTGGTTGCAACTGTTATAACTGTTTATTTGCGACATTGGAGATCCAGAACTTGGAGCCAGAGACCAAGGCGAATATTGTGAATACTGAGAATATGCTGGCGGTGAAAAATACGGTTTGGTTAAAGAAAATTGGTTGTATGGAGAGCAGTGTCCGTCCACAAATAATGGCTTTGGTAGAGATATCGATGCTCGATATGGTCGACGCATCCTTCGTCGACGTCGGTAATTTCCCTTTTCAAACATATCTTCAAATGCAGGGTCTAAAGTCCAATAATTTCCTTTGCGTTCTCCTCCACCTTCTCTTGGAACTTTTACAAAACATTCATTAAGGCTGAGATTGTGACGAATGCTATTTTGCCATCCTTTCTTGTTTTTTTCATAATAGGGAAATTTCTTCATGATATATTGATAAATTCCACTAAGGGTTAATCTTTTATCATCGCATTCTTTAATTGCCATTGCAATAAGAGCAACATAAGAATATGGTGGTTTGACATCTGGGTCCGAAAATTCTTCAGTTTTTTTCAGCGGTTTATTCACAGATTCCTTTGTCTCTTCTTTCGGTATATTTTGCTTCTTATCTTCGAAAGTAGATTTATTGTCATTCTGTTTGGTGCTATTCTCCATTCTTGCAGCTATTCCACATTTTCCGCTAAATTTAACATGTTCAGGAATTGTAGGTTTCCACATTTTCGAGTCCATAAAGTTTTCATTAAACTGGGATTTTGCAGAGCGGTAAAGTCTTAATTTAAAATCCAAGTCAGATTCCGTCAAGCTGTCATCTAAATTTTGTTTTATTTTCATATTTTCCATTTTGTAATATAATATTAGAATTTACCAAACACGCTCGTCATAATGAATGTTTTCAGTAATTAAGTAAATATATATTAGTATATTTATGTTTCGGACACGTGCGCATAGTGATGTCAGTTTCAGATAAAGCACCACCCAAATGTTAGAACTTCGTACCAATCAGAGATAGTTCAAAGCTGTATGTGTCCCTCCCTAATGAGAGTACCATTCACCAAAATGCCAGCCTCTCAAATCAAAATCTCATATTTCATGTGAAGTAGAATTTTGACGATGTCGCCTGGTGACAGATATATGAATTGTTTTATTTATTATTTATTTTTACTGTTAAAACAACAGCAAACAAGCAAAATGAAAAATGAGGTACGAATGTGTAACTTACTCTCGAAGTTACATAAATTTGACAAAACGCTTTTATTTTCACCGATTTGAATATTGTTTGCTAAAAATTTCCTTCTTTTGGTTTAAGTAAAGATAAAATCGAAAAAAGCATGTATCCACGACAGAAATATGAAAATTTTTTTTTAATAAACAAAATCATTCATCGCCTGACTGGATTATCAAAAAATCATACAGAGACATATATATATATATATAATAAAGTGAAAATAAAATTATTCAAAAATAACATTTTAACAATTTTACTATGATTTTCAGTGGAAAATGGTTAAATTAACTTTTTATATAATAATAGTATTGCTATCGTGCGTTGGCTGAGACTAAGACATGAAGATATTTTGCCAAACTAAAATTAACAAAAATTAAGGGGAAAAGAATGTGCTATATATATCTTCGTCTCAATTAAATCGTCAAACCATTTTTTGTACAACGCTCTGATTCTAGCGGAAATTTTGGACGTTTAGATAATGAAATGTCGGTCAAAGAGACTTGCCTTCTGGACAACAGGTAGCCATATAAAAAAAAACCATATATACCTCTCCACCCCAAGGCCCTCGGTCGATATCTATCCACCAAAGACAAGAAAGCGTTGCTCATTGACTACTTCGCATTTTAAATCATTTTTGGAGGTCTAACAACTTTTAAGCTACAAGCACCCTAAAAATACAGTAAATATATGCATAAAAATGCATGATCCTGGTTTTTCTAGTATTAATTAAATAAAAACTACATTTGAATAAAAAAAAATTGAAACAAAACAGGCATCAATATAGTTTAATATTTCATGAAAGTATAATAGAAAAAACTGCAATAGCATTTAGTACTACAGATTATCTGTCGATTTTATGTTAATCCATCTATTAACATAGTTGGCAATGATACGTTAAAACCCTTTGTTTTTCAAACTCAAACTTTAAGATTCTGAGATATGAGAGAGAAACAATAATTTGTCTTACAATAGGCCATCTACGGACCACTAAAAGAGTAATTGTGAGGGTTCGTTAACGAACAGAAACCCGGCATCCTTCTCTATAGGCATCGGATTTAACGTTCCTCTTCCGACCGAACGTGGCTGCGTATATATACATCCCACACAGCCAAAACGGACGTCCACATGGTCAAGGGTTTTACTGACAGACGGAACTGAGAGATCAAGGGTTGATCTAATTTCTAAACCAAAGTCAAACTTTGGGTTTTTTGTAGGTTTTTAGGGACAGATATTGAGAAATACCGAGGAAGAGCAATAAGCATGCATCCAGCGATGAATAGTTGACATATTATAACATGGTGAAGATTGTCCCTTACGTCGATTGTAAAAGTTAATGAAACTAGAACATACATTTATTTATGAGTAATCGATAAGGTGCAAAACTGCTTCTACAGACCTAATAATGCATGTTTATGTCAACCCAAAATTCATTAGATATGTTTTACATAGTATCAACTTTTAAATTTCGTGAGCTGGTGATAATAAGGTTAGGCTGATATTAATTCAAGAACAGAGTAATCTATAACAGAAATTCATTATTTTTCTCAAAAACTCACATCAGCTGTAATTGTCATTAGCTGTGAAATGAACACATTTCTCATCATACAAAAGACAACAATAATGTAATCTTTGACATAACTTTTATATTTTTGTTGCCACTTCAAAGGATAAAGTCATTATATTGAATAAATGTGTTGATTGAGAACTTTGAAGTTTAAACAGTGATGACAATACGAGTACAAAATGTATGCATTGAAAAATTGATTTATCTTAATGAAATAACAATCTCCAAGGTTTTAGATCCATATTGCTGAAGATGACATAAGAGTTACCTATATTCCATAGTTTGAAGAATTTTATGGATCACAAAATTTGTAATAAAAAAAAAGGCATAAAAATAAAGTGAAAACGCTTTAACGACTCCTGTGCTTAATGGTATTGACCTAATCCAGAGATGTACATTGTATATATGTCTCTGCCTAAACATATATCAAGTATCAACAAAACAATTCGAAACAAAGAAAATGAGGTTACGGCCATAGTCAGACAGTCTCTGTCAAATAGACAGATACGTCTTACAATGATCTGATCTAGACCACGAAACCCACGTAAATGAGGCCAATATCAGGTGATGCCTATTGGACAAATGAGTGTACCTTATAAGAATTATGTAGACCTACTATTTTTTTTATAATAAGAAACTGACCAAAGCAACGTAAAATAATGAAGATAGAGTCAAAGCCAGGTGAACCCTGTCTGACGGACCTGGGAACAGTATATCTAACGTCAATATATATGTTCCTGGACGGACATATAAAATATACATAAATTCTGTAGATCAAATATATTAAATTACGTATTTCTCAGGAAAAATTGAGAAATTTACCTAAACAGGAAAACCTAATTTTGATTATTGGACTGTGTATCAAATTGACCTACCCCTCTGGTCAGAAGATTACACCCTAAAAAAATTCTGTAAACCTATAACTCTAGATACTGAGAATGACCTAAATACGAAAACAAAATGTAAATGGACCGTTAAAATAAGGTCAAGCTCAGGTGTCCACTGTCAGATTGCTTAGACACAATACGGTTCATAGTGATAGCAATATACGAACGCAAATTTTTTGCAATCGGTCGTATAAAAATATATATAGCTGTTTGACCTATAACTCATTGTAAATGAGTATATAAATTACCTTATTAGACTTAACTGTAACTTTATTAAGTCATTAAACCATTTAATCAAAAATATAACATATAAAGCTGTAGAAACTTCACACCAAAAGTCATTTATGAATTGTCTAGCATTTATACCTTTCGTAATATAATACATTTAATAATGCCACAGAATTAGCAAAGATTTGTCTTGCTTTATGCAATACTTTTCACAGGCCATACAAATACAATTTGCAGAGGCATATTAAGGGGCCCCAAGGTGGCCAAGCCCCTTATGGAGCTACATGTATGGCTAATGCATAGACTTTATAGAAGTCCCACTCCAAACACTGCTCACTTCGTGGGCCCTAGCCCCCCTCCCCCCTTTTCAAAATCATGCATCTGCATCTGATTTAGACAACAAAGCAACCTGTAGAGTATTAAATAAAAGCTTCTCAGAAACCTGCACTGGCACTTTACTGAGATAATCTTTAAAATAAATTTGAATTTATGTCAGTCTGTCTAATTCAACAAAATGTATCAACCCTTAAAATCATTTTCATTCAACTGTAATGTTCTGTACATTGCTTTATTTTACAATGGCAGCTATAATGAACTTTTCTTTAAAATTATAGCTATACAATAATCCTTTGATGCTTGAAAAAATAATTCTAGTTTTGTTTAATAAAAAAGACTCACTTAGTTCAAATATCTCATTTAAGGAATGCACTTATACTATAACTATAAGGTTTAATAAAAATTGCATACTGGAATGAAAAGTTAACTTGTAAAAATTTTTCCAAAGATGAAAATATAGGGTTGTGCAGCATTTCTTTACCATTCTTCTTCCTTTTCTTAGATTATTCCTGTTATCCGACACTATCACACTGGTAAAATTTCAAAATTGTGTCGCTATGAGATATAATATGCAGATCCATCTGAGAACCAGTAGGTGAACAAAACAAAATAAAGAATTTTAGGGAGAAAACCACAACTGTGATCTTCACCTTAATCGTGTTAAGCTTAAAGTCAATATCATTGCCCTCCCTTTTTATTTTACCATATATCCAAGTTTTATTTCAATCTCATGCAAGGTCTTAGTTATTATCATCAGGAAATCATTTTTTTTTGTTGCCCACCCCCCTGCACAACATCACCATACATTTAGTTGGTTTTAGACTTTGTCCAACCCAGCCAAATACTACCAAATATAAGAAAAGACTGCCATAGTTTAGCATGGGAAATTCCACTTTTAGATATTGATACCACAAAAGACAGGATTCAATCAAAAAACTTTAGTGAGAAAGCTCATAATACCACACTCTTGTATATTGAGCTATAAATCAAATTGACAACAAAGATCTCCCTCTCCTTATATGTTACTGTATTTCCCAGTTTGGTTCCAATCCAATGTAAAGTCTTAAGTTACCATTAAGAACTCCATTTTCTGCACTTTTCAGTCTGTTTTAGTAACTATGGCCTTGGAAGCAATGCTCTCAAAAGCAAAATAGATTATATTCCCATTATATGTGACCATGTGTTTAAGTTTGTTTTCAATCTGATGTAAGGTTCTAGAGTTAATATCAAGAAACCCATGTCTTCAGCCTATTCCTAGTAATTTATATCTTGACCTTAGGCATAGTGACCTCAAAATTAATAGGGATCTTCAGCTCATTTTAAGTGACCATATATCCTAGTAAGGTAGTAAGGTTGCAATTCAACATACTAAAGTTCTGGAGTTTTTATAATTATATGGATAAACCTTTTCAGTTCTATTTTTAGTGACCTTGACCTTCATCATTAGTGACTTCCAAAATTAATAGGTATCAACCTCTAATTAATAAGATATATAATTAACTTATTTTTTCACCCCTGTTTTCACCAAAAACAAAAAAAACCAACAATATACAGTATTATGATATTATACATCCGTCTTAAATTTTGAGTGTTACTACTTTGTAAATTCGTGAAACTTTATAGTTTATCAGAATATATATCATTGGTCTTCCCTAATCAATAGCTGGCCAAAAAATAAATAAATGAATTGTCTATAATACTTTATTTATGGTGGAATATCAAAGTTAAATTGAAAACTGTTATCTGACTTTGACATGACAAATTTAGTCACAGGATTATGGTTACTACTGTCTTCCTTTTCAGCACAATTGTCAGGCTCTTTATCTGATGGGTCATGTGACAGACATGTGACATCACTGTTTACTTTATCACCATTACATATTGCACTGTCTGTTGTATTGACAGATTCACATGATGAAGGTTGTTGGAAGCCAAATTTAAAACCACCCGATTCTCCTTGTGTATTGTCTGACATTAGCCTGGTTATATCTGTCTGAGATTTCTCATCATTCACATTTATTGAAGCCATCATTGTCACATAGGATTCGTTAGCTTTCTTCAATGACTTTTTGTAGAAAACTGATTTATTAGAGTCTGTTGATACTGGTGTGACCTTTAGCTTCTTCATTTCTGTAAAACAGGACCAAAGAAATGTTAAGTAATATTACCTTTTCAATACTTTTTCATATATATTTCTTAACATATTAAAATGCCTCTGAATTTTTCAATTGTATCATTTCCATAAAATTTAGTTGTAATGATAAATCAACTTATGACAAAATTTCAGAAGTTTTACATACTTTGGTGAGAATCAAACACTTTGTTAGCATATATATTCTCTTAGTATTTACATTCACTATTTCCTATTTATAGTAAAGCTGACAGTGGGGAAGTCCCATAGTCATATTTTGCAACACTAAAATATGTCTGATTTTCTTTATTAATAAAATAAAATAAATATTAATTGCTCAAAGGGAGAACACTCTGTTTTAATACAAGTTCTCTGTTAAAACAAAATTCTCAGTCAAAAGAATTATTTTGCACATATATGTAAAATTTAATGCCTATATTATTTTGATCTAAAAATTATAATATGGAAAATATCTTGATAAAGTTTTGGTGAAATTCTGGCACTTTAAAATATTTGATACAGAATTTCAATGTCTATATGTTCTATTTTTTGTATGTAGCAATACATACTGTACTGAATGAATGGATGGACGAAGAGTTAAGTGAAACAATGTGTCGATTCAAATTTACACAGGTTGAAGTTCAGCTATTTAGAGCCTGCTGCTTTGGATAAAAGAAAGCAGTTGAAGAAAATCTACGACAAAGTAGCTTTCCTCATGAAATTGTGTATGATCTTGTGATCTTGCAAATAAAAAAATTTTCACATATTTTTTTTCATTTAAATTTTGGTAAACTGTTTTATTACTTAATTTTCATTATAAAAAATATCACGATGCTAATTCTGCCAGGATATTGAATTTTTTTTTACTCAACATATTTTTAAAAAAATATAAATTTTCATTGTTTATACTTGTTGCATTCTTTTTTTCTTCCTCTTTAATTTTCTGTCTATAGTCACCAAATGTATTTCTCATGGCTTGTCTTTTCTTTATTAAAGGTGCCTTGTCACTTCTCAGGATTTTTAAAACTTTTATTGCTTCTGCAGCTAAAAAAGTATATTTACATAAATAAAAAATAATATTCAAAGTGATAAGATCTTCAATTTGGAACTATAAAGTAGATTTTCTATAGTATTAAGTGACTGATGTCTTGCTTGTTCATTTTTTTCAAGTTCTTGCAAGGAACATGCTATAGATTGATATCTGAAATGTAAATAATGTAATAATCAATGACATGCAAAACATTGATCTCACTGATGGAAATTAAAAGCGAGCACCTGAGATCACCACCAGCTTTTGATGGGGTTCGTGTTACTCAGTCTAGTTTTCTATGTTGTGTTTTGTGTACTATTATTTGTCTGTTTGTCTTTTTCTTTTTTAGCCATGGCATTGTCAGTTTATTTTTGACTTATGAGATTGAATGTCAATTTGGTATCTTTCTCCTCTCTTTTGAGATATCTAAAAACTACTTTAACTCTGCCACAAGTTCAAGAGCCTGTCCCAGGTCAGGAACCTCACCCGGGGTGTCTTTTGTCATATCTTAATGTTTTTTTTTCATTTGAAGAATTTGATGTCGAAGCCAGATCTTTGCTATTGGGAAGTCTATTAAATTTATTTAAAACTTATGATCAATTTAGAGCTTGACATTATTGTATGGACACCTGCCAATTGTTGAAGACAGTGTGTTGACATCTTTTCGATTTTTGTTTTGTAGGGTTAGTGTACCATTTATCCCAAATTTTCTTTTATTCATAAATATAAACAGCTGTGAAAAAGGCGACTTATTGGAAAGATAAAATTTTAATGCTATTTATGTATGTTTTTCTGGTGTAGAAAATAAAACAGGCAAATAAAATTGAAAATATCAATAAAAATTTAAGGTACCAAAAGTTGTTTACATTACTTATAGAATTCATTTTTATAAACTTGAAGATTTAAGTAATATTTACTTGTATATATAGATTTTGAATCTATTTTCAAGGTTGAATAATCTTCCCTTATGCTTTTCAAATACAAGTAATTATTTTTATAACCAATGAAATTCTCAAGTTTTGGGAGGTCAAGCATGCCTCAAATATTTTTTTCTGGTTTGATTAGTATTTTTTGAATTGGAGTTCAACCTTTACCTCCAGAACTAAACAAAGTAGTCTACTGTACACAGATGTTAAGTAGCTGTGAAAGACATTCAAAAATTGCTCCCTGGAGACTTGTAAATAGATAGTATTTCAAAAATAACAGAAACATGAGATTATCATTGTTCCTGAATTTATACTTTTTTTAATAGTAAAGAAACTATTAGAAACAAACAATTAAACTCTCATTCTAAAAATAATAACTTTGCTTTGTAAACAACAGTGTGATAAAATTCTTGATATATCTATATTTAATGCAGACTCACAGATGTACATATTTGTTGCTGTTACAGTTTACCTCCCATGAAAATCCACAGGAATCGTAACCTATGTTCAACCGCTATGTTGATTTCACTGTGTTAAAATTGAATTGAAAATAAACTACAGAGCTTTTAATCCTATTTTAATGAATAGCAAGAAAATTTAATGTATCAGACTCTAAGAAAAAGTATAAAATAAAAATAAAATAAAATTTTTTGAAAAAAAAAAAAAAACTGAATGCCTAATGGATATAACTCTATCTCCAAAATAACTTAAATGTACCAGTAAATAATAAACTATTGTATGAGTACCATCCTGATTGGCATATATATTATGTTGAAGAAAATACAGCCCTGATCTTAATAAAAATATATTAGGGTTAAAACTATAAAAGCTATAGAAAATAATATAGATAAAGAATCTGAGGGTAAATAATATAAAACATGTTTTGTATTTTTGTTTATAAATTTCAATAGGGAACACACTTCTCAGCCTGGTAGGAGGCTTGGACAAAAAGTTTAAGCCTCTTGCTTCGGAGAAGCCGCATCGGCCTATGAAATTTTCTCAGCCTGGTACGAGGCTTGTACATTATTGTAGTAATTAAACAAATTACATCTTAATGATTGTGAAAATGACAGTTTAGGAGGATAATTAATATAAAATTAAAGAACCTTAGTGAGCACGCTCACATACCCCACGTCCCCACATTGTCATTGGAGAAATTAAATAAGTGTAACAAAAAAAAATTGTATAAGAAAAAATATTGAATAATAATTTCCTGTCAATATGCACATCTACATAGTATGTCCTTCTTATTTACAAAGTTTCATGAAATTCTGTTGTGTGGTTTTAGAAGAGTGGAGATGACAAACTGTTGCAGAAGTACATTGAAGCAAATAAGTTCAAAGGGGCGTAACTCCTAGAAAAAAAAAAGAATCGTAATTTCCTGTCGATATGCACATCTACGTAGTATGTTCCTATTATCTACAAAGTTTCATGAAATTCTGTTGTGTGGTTTCAGAGGAGTTGAGATGACAAACTGTTGAAGTTGTACCTTAAAGCAAATAAGTTCAAAGGGGTGTAACTCCTAGAAAAAAAATTGAATCGTAATTTCCTGTCGACATGCACATCTACATAGTATGTCCTTATTATCTTAAAAGGTTTCATGAAATTCTGTTGTGTAGTTTCAGAGGAGTTGCGATGACAATCTGTTGCAGTAGTACATTAAAGTAAATAGGTTCAAAGGAGCGTAACTCCTAGAAAAAAAATTGAATTGTAATTTCCTGTCTATATGCACATCTACATAGTATGTCCTTATTATTTTAAAAGGTTTCATGAAATTCTGTTGTATCGTAATTTCCTGTCGATATGCACAACTACATAATATGTCCTTTTTATCTAAAAAGGTTTCGTGAAATTCTGTTGTGTGGTTTGAGAGGAGTTGCGATGACAAGAAACAGGACTGACGGACGGACAGACTGACGGACGGACGGACTGACGGACGGACTGACGGGTCAAAAACATTATACCCTCCGCAACTCGTTGCGTGGGGTATAAAAACTATTGTAGGACATTGGGTGAAACATCTTAAAAAATGGTTCAATTACTGTAATAATGTTTTGTATGGTGCCACATGTGGAGCAGAATCTGCTTACCCTTCCAGAGCACCTGAGATCCCCCATTTTTTGGAGGAGTTTGTGTTGCTCAGTTTTTAGTTTTCTACGTTGTGTATTGTATACCGGTACTGTTTTTTGTCTTTTTGTCTCTTACTTTTTTTGCTATGACGTGAGTTTGAATGTCCCTTTGGTCCCTTTTGCCTCTTATTAAAACTTATTTTGACATGTACCTTGTCTGGAATCTGGTTTCTGGTTGCATAATCCAAGCTCTAATTGTCTGATACACCAGGATAACTCTATTTCAAACTCATTAGCTGCATTTGTATCCTACAAATTAAAAACAGAGTTACTTCTCTTGATTATGTGAAAATAATTTTATTTGATAACTGTAAGCAACATAAATTATAAGCAAACAATCTTTTTTCTAAAGTAATTGTTTCATTTGGTTTTCAAAACAGAGACAGGTTATGTTTTGGGTACATGCATTCACCAAAAATCAACAATAAAAATATAATTTTCATTAAAAATGTAAAATATAACATACATCCTCCCAAAAAAACAAATTCATAAAAAATGCTCTCTCAAACACAAATAAGGAGAAAAATCTAATCATGGTTATAATGAATGTAATATTATAAAAATTGAAGAAAAAAATAGGCTAACGTCTAGTGTTTGTTAATTACATGTACTAGATAAATATCACATCCCATTTTAATAGACACTTACATCTGTATCTAGTATCAGTCATACAAACCTTTGAGGTTAAATTTCTCAGTCTTCATATGTAAAATAATGAAATTGACCTAATACAGGGGTTGATTTTATAATTTTGAAAATATTATCACACTGCGTTTGCAATGTATACTAAACAAAAATTCTGTAAGTCATTCTTTATCTTGTTTTTGGGTTTGGGTTGGGATTCATGTGTGAATATGATTTAATGTACCTGATGAATAATTCATTACCACTGAAACTACTATTGTATGTTTAATATAAACAAACAGGTACCCTTATTATTGGTTTTATTTTCTCATTTATCATTAAATGTCCAAATTTCTTACATAATTTGTACCTAACATTCTTTAATGTGGAATTCAAATATGTTGTATACGGAGTATATATCTCCCAATTGATACGATATTCCCGGGCTTGTGTTTCCTATCATGATTTCCTTGATAGAGGATTGCTGCTCACAAGGAAGCTATTAAGCCAAGAGTTCCAAATGGTGAAGTTGAAATCATCCCTTCGTAAATTTTACGGACGCCATCACGAGTTGGTTGACCGTTATGGAGTAACCGTTTCACAGATGATATCGGATATGTTCCTTATGTCGTAACTACAATACCCTTCCCTTTTCACGAATGTGACTTATCGAATTAGACTATTTACCGGATTTGTAATAACATAAGCAACACGACGGGTGCCACATGTGGAGCAGGATCTGCTTACCCTTCCGGAGCACCTGAGATCACCCCCAGTTTTTGGTGGGGTTCGTGTTGCTTAGTCTTTAGTTTTCTATGTTGTGTCATCTGTACTATTATTTGTCTGTTTGTCTTTTTATTTTTGGCCATGGCGTTGTCAGTTTGTTTTCGATCTATGAGTTTGACTGTCCCTCTGGTATCTTTCGTCCCTCTTTTGGATGTCTCACAGCCCTCCTTAAAACTTGTATGTATTTTATCAAATATATATTTCAGCTATATTCCTATTATTCACTTATCTTCAAAATACTATTTCATGTACAGAAAAAAAGTCCAGTCATCAGTCTAATATTCCAAAACTGGTTCATTTATCAAGACAAATTATTAATTATTTTATCAATAGTAATGGCAAATGGATCAACCATCTTGGTTGATGAATGGACACGGTTTTCAACACAGTTTCAAAAGGGGACCACTATAGGACTGTGTCGACACTATCATAATGTCCCAACAGATAGTTGAGCTTTAATTTTGTCTTATATTACCTTGTAAGTAGCATTAGCTATGTTGACTTGTGGGATTTAGTCAAATTGGCTGCATTAACTGGTCTTAAAATATCAATTAAATTTGATTTCAAAACTAGATACTAATGGTTATGATGTTTTATTTAATTAAGCACTGAGATTATAAATGAGTAGATATATGGTATAAAAAGTTAATCATGCTTACAGAAAAGTTAATTACATAAAAGTAACTAGCTGCTTTCAATCTGGCATACACTTTACTAGTTTGTTCTTATGTTGTGCAAGTTCAGGAGGAGGGTTGAGTGCTCACAGACATGTTTAACCCAGCCATATTTTTTATGTGTCTGTAATTCAGTGGTTGTTGTTGGTTGCTAACTGCCTTATTTGTTTTACGGCTTACTATATGGCTTTGCTCATTGCTGAAGGCTGTACAGTGGCCTATAGTTGTTTAAATCCTCGTCCTTTGGCCTCCAGTGGATAGTCAAACAAAAGTTGTCTGATTGGTTAAGCAATTACCACATGTCCTTATTTATATACTAATACTTTTGCAAAAAGATTTTCTGATTGTTTTTAGCTGTTTAAAATCATAGTAAATATAAAGTAAGATTTGATTTCCAAAGAAAATTGTCTGTACTCAAAGTAAACTCAACCACTTTTGTCAATACACCTTATCACTATTTAGTTCAATCCAGAAAAATAGTCACTTGAACAACTTCCTGTTTGGGTCAAGTGTCGCAAAAACAAAGGTCATCAGTAATGAGCTGAGGATGGAAAATGTTTAGAAAGCTAACATTTTGAAACATTGATAGATTATGATCCTGTTTTTTAAAAGGCAGTGTCTACGCGACCCCGCATGCGGGGACGAGTAACTAAATTGGCATTTGTAGGCTATGCTCACCCGCATCCTGTTTTATAACTTTTATAACAAAATGTCATCGGATCGGGAATGAAATGTAAAATATACATGGAAATTATCGGTAATTTGCGGATTTGGTGAATTCAGTGAAGAGAATGGCAAATAATATTTTTTAATTTGTATTTATTAGTTAAAAATACATAATAAACATTGCAAATTAGATGCACACTAAAGGAATTAAAAATGGACAGTCCCTGTTCAAAAGAAAACATGATAAAAATTAGAAATTAAATGTAAATGCACATTTAAAGAATAAAATTATACTGAATTTGAAAAAAGCTATGTAAAAGCTTGAGTATGAAAATACTTTTCTAGTAAAACGCAAAACAGGAACCAAAATTTTAAAATATATCTTAAACGATTAAAAATAAAGCTTGAGTGTATACATAAATTAAAGAAGCAATTAATAAGATCAAATTCCATATGTATAAAAATAGATGCATTTGATAATTATACATCCATTCAGAACTCCAAATTCATCTTTTTACTACTTCTACTGTTGCACCTAGGCCTGAAATATAATAAAATATTTCAGGTGTTCATATATAGGTAAAAATGAACAATGTTATGTATGATGAATAAATTAATTTGAATTAATTATGTGTAATATATATGTATAGATAATCTATTTTATTAATATATTTATTTTAAGAAGTTAAAATGTTTTTATTTTGTTTTATTCCCGATCCAAAGACATTTAATTATAAAGTGGAAGCAGGTACGTGTAGCCTACGAATGCCAATCTGGCTACTCGTCTCCGCATGCGGGGATGTGCAGACACTGCCTTTTTAAAACACAAATTAAAATCATAAAAATGCTTTGTATGAGGTGTTTACGATGGTTTAAACATGTCTCTTTGAAAAGTTTTATGCATAATACATTGGTTAAACAGGGCCCCAGATAGCTTCAGCTGGATGAAAAAGTGGTGTAATTTCAGAACTTATCTGGATTAGAATAAATAGAGGTAATTATATAAGGTGTATTTTTCCTGACAGATTTTGCACTATGACATTCAATCACTTTTAACATGGTAGAATTTTAAGGTTCATCATAACAAATGGACAAATATGGCCGTATTTTCACCTCAAAACCTACTCTGTGTACAGACTTACCTGTTTGGTTTGAAAAGTTTTAAGGCCTGGCATCCACTAGATATATAAAAGTTAAATGTATTTTGCATATCAGAAAGATAAAATCTTTTTTGGATTTTAATGGACATTTTTTTTCGTTCCTGCAGAAGGTGTAAAAATAAACTAAGTTGGGATACAACTTTGAGATGCTCCCTCTCAGGTAACAACTGGTTTGTATTGTATTGATTGTCCTTGATTGGCATAGACAATAGACAGACAATAGATATTTACACATCTATAGATGAGTTAAAGGTAGTAACTGAGTGGACAGTATCAAATGCAATTCAGGTGTTTGTTTATTTTTACACCTTCTGCAGGAAGGAAAAAAAATGCCCATCAAAATCCAAAAACGATTTTATCTTTCTGAAACACAAAATGCATTTAACTTTTATATATCTAGTGGATGCCAGGCCTTAAAACTTTTCAAACTGCACAGGTAAGTCTGTACACAGAGTAGTTTTTGGGGTGAAAATACGGCCATATTTGTCCATTTGTTATGATGAACCTTAATATGCAACATAGAACAGAACCAAAAGGCCTTTGTGATAATTATCAAATTGAAGTGAAGGTAAAATACGACTAAAAATTATAAAAAAAAAATATTGTTTCATCTTATTTAAGTACTAGATATTGTCATGATTGCAGGTCCTAGTGAAAAAGGGGGAGGACTCTCTGTAAATTCATATCTACAATCAATTAAAGATCATTTCATTAGAACTGACATATCATACATCAATTGTTGATTGATTATTTGCATTATCGGTTGCTTGTCTTTTCTTTGGGGGCATTTTGTGTTCCATCTGCTAATTTCTTTTCTAGTTTCGAAAGGAGTTGATTAATAATAAAATGTAAATCGGTTTAAGACTTGAAATATTACGGAATGTTTTTTTTTTTTTGAAAACAATGTCAAAGCAGACATGTAAAAAAGATGGAACAGTTTTCAATATATACTTAAAAGGTTATTCGTTCTTCCTTTACAATACAAACTTTTAAAGAATTATCTTTTTAACAAAAATTTCCCTATAATTTCATTTCGGATTTCACAAATTCTTTAATCCGACATTGATTCAGAACATTAAAGACGCCTTTTGGTTCGTTCTCGGCGCCATGTTGGGACGCTTGTTTTCTGACGAACCTATCTAGCTGTGTATCCACATTTAAAAAGAGTTTACGCAGTAACACTACAGTTAAAGCTAAATTATTTTACTTTGTATCGCCTGATGTAGACAAACAAAATGCTTGCGAGTTATATTTTAAAGGTATAAATAATTCACGGAAATGCCACCATTCATCAATTTCATGTTAAAAAATCTGGAAACAGTTTCACATTCTTATCCCCCTTTATCAACAGGTTGGAAAACTTTCAGCCTACTGTAGTCCAATTAGTTATGCCGTATTCGCAGGTCATTTAATTGGATACTTGGATCTCCTGTAGTTGATGATCGCAATACTGGTATACCAGTATTGTCCACAATACTGGTATAAAAATTTTGTACCAGTATTGTAACTTTAAAAAAAAACCACAGCAATACTGGTACATTACTGATATACCAGTATTGTAGTTGTATTGTTCACTATACTTTAAGATGTATAATGAAAAATGAATTTTAAGCAAAATTAGATATTGAAGATCAAAGGGAGATTAAATGAAATAAAAAAGATTATAGAGGATAATTGTGAAATTTATTAACAACCAATTAAAAATAATTACTATACTTGTACAAATAAACAAAGATTATTGTAATTAACTCATCTTATTCAAACAATTGTTAATTATATAAATAATTGCTAATAATTTTATCATATTTCTATATTTTATTTTATTCGATAAAATAAAATAAAAGCTTTATTATCCGAGTTATTATTTAATAAATTCAAGCAAATTAATTTTATTACACTATAACACTGTGAATTCAGCATTTACATGTTTGCCATCGTATATTTTTTACGGATATTTATATACATGTATACTAAGATCATATGCATTTGCTTGTCTTTATTTTCTTATTAATCTTTCACAATAAACATGATAAAAGACATCAATATCCATTAAACAAAAAAAGCTTAATAGGGGAACCTGATTATAATCAAATTAACTAGTTTGTCTACATGAATGTTTATTAAGGGTAGTTAAAGCAGTTGATTCAGAACCATGGGCAATACAATTTGTAGCAGATATATCTACTGGTACAAATACTCAAATACTAATACGGCACTCCTACAGTAAGAGAAAGTCCACAGACTGAATACCTAAATATCAATATAGGAAGTGGGGGGTTGCAGAAATGCCATCTGAAGAAGAAATAAACAATACCAATGCTGATGATACAGAAGCTATAACAGCATTAATGTCAATATAAAATTCACTAAAATATACTATTGAGTCTTGGAAAGAGACAGCTGGAAGAAAAGTTTTTAGAAAACATAGAAGAAAGTAAAGAGTTTGTTAAAATGCTGAGATAGTACGGTTCCCTTAAGAAAAAAAACATCAGAAGAATTAAAACTTTCTTTGATTACAATCACAGTGTACCATCAATGGCATCATCAGTTAAACATACAATCATTCCGTATAAAATTGTCATGTCATATGTTAATATCATTATGCATATATATATGACACCTTTAATAAAAGATTAATAACCTATATGTATTGTTTATTTAAAAAAAAAACAACACAATACTGGTACAATACTGGAATACAATACTGGTACAAAATTTTTATACCAGTATTGTGCACAATACTAGTATACCAGTATTGCGATCACCAACTACAGGAGATCCGGATACTTTCCTGCTATCGGGTGTCTATAAAAAACAAAACAGAAAAATACCCTCAACAGACATCTTCACAAAGGGTATTGCCTACTACTATTGGGTCCGTTCGCCCTAATTACATGTTCGCCCTGGGTCCGTTTGCCCTGAGTCTGTTCACCCATTGAGTCCGTTCGCCCTTCTTTAAAACAAAATTAATATAGTGGTATTAAGGTTTAATAAACATATTCAGATATATTATATGATCAATAATAGAGAAAATATATATTCTTGAAATTATGACAATGTATGAAAAAACATGGAAATATTTAAAAATTAATGGCTTGTTTTGGAGCATTAATGGGCTTCATTCTTGCGTAACATTTAAAAAAAAAATAAACTAGTCAGCTTGGAATGAGTAAAAACAACGATGTACGAATTGTAAGACATGAAAGGGATTTTTGTTTCGCAAAGTGCTTGGGTTCTTTGATCTAAAGTTCGTTTTGACACATTTCCCATAGAAAAAATATGTGCTCTTTAAAATAATAGTGTAAAAAAATAAGGACATAACTGGTTTGTGATGCGAAGTTCGAATTGGATCTTGTTATGACTGTTAATGATTGTTCTGAAATTGTTAAAATTTATCAATAAAGATAAATACATGAAGATAACATGGTCTTCGGTTGTTTTATATCAAATACCTTGTATTCCTGGTACTCTACAGTGCAGATCAAAGGAAAATAATTTTTTGGTAGCAGCAATACAACATAAATAATCAGAGAAATTTTCAACAAACTTTTACATACTCTTTTCAAATAATAATATACAACAAGACAACAAAATAGAATAAAAATCAAGAGCGAACGGACTCAGGTCGAACAGACCAAGGGCGAACAGGTATTAGGGCGAACACGAATCAGGGCGAACCGACCCAGATTCTTCACAAAGCCTTAAAAATGCTACAGTGTTTCAATTAGATCAAATAATTATTACGTCTTGAAAGGCTATTTGAACTTTTTGCTAATGATGCCTTCCTATGACATCAAACACCAAAGCCATTTTTTTCTGTGAGACTTTGAGATACAATTTTCCTCTCAACTTTGAGACCCAAGTTTGCCATCATGAAATCTTCACTGACGACTGCAAACTATTTCCAAAAATATCCAGAATTATTGATAAAATAATTTAAAATTTCATCCAAGATATCTATAACCTACTGCTTTTATGAAATGGTTTCCTCGATTTCCAAAGATGCTTTACTTTGGGAGAGTTTAACATGTACATGTATCTATTGAAAGTTGACAGAAGCGAATATCTGGACTATATAAATTGATCATTCCGGAAATTTGTTCTTGTCAAAATTTTATTTTATACATTCTGTATAATCTTATATATACGTTCTTGTAATAGTTGAAAGGAAGCTGTTATCACAAATATATCATATTCAATTTATATTGGGAAGAAATGATTGAAAATACTTTTTTATGCAGTTTTATCTTGACTTTAAAAAATATACATGTATACATGTATATGTTTTGGATTTCAGGGGAGATAACTGTTAACATGTTTAGATATAACTTTCAATTTCCTGTTGATTATGCTAGTTTTCTATGTGGTGCCAATTAATACAGTACCTCAACCTGTAGTTCCAGAATAGTTGTTTCAATGTGAAGGTTGAAAAGTTCAAATGACATCTTTGTATGCATCCGCCTAGTTTAAAGTTCAGACAAAGAAAAACAGTTAAACTTTGAAATTCTGTATGAGTCTCTAATCACAGGACTAAAAATTTGAAGAAAAAAAACATTGGGCAGATGAATTGTAATTATATTTTTCTTGCTGAGTCTAAATCAGCAAGATGTCTTTTGGAAATTATTGCTGCTGCATTCATTATACATGTATATATACTTTTTGAATTAAATAACAGAACAAATTAGAATAACTTAACTTATAATATCAGGTTACTGTATTTTCAAAGTGTACAACAAAAAGTTGTAATTAAAGAACAATATTCAAAACAAAGCAAATTCAAGAAATGATATGACAGTATTCTTCTTTTCACTTTTGGGGTAAAAAAAATGAAATTACTAGTATTCCTTTAGATTTGTAAATAGCTAATTGTGTTTGGGAACTTATATATTTGTCTATCTAGCTAAATTATGTTAATAAAGTGATAACATGATTTAGCCAAAAAAATAGACAGTGCAGCAAAAGTGATCAAAAATACTTGACAGTACAACAGACCATCAACTACCAACATCTGACTCCTCCCCTAAAAAAATCAGACATACAAAAAGATGAAGAACAACAAACAACACTTAACAAACATAACAAGATTTCAAGATTTTCTCCTTAAACATTTCATATTACACCTATATATGCCAAAGATCTACACGTAAATATACAATGCTATGCAAGCAATGAGGAAACACTTGAATACAAAGTCTGATATAAATAATTTTGTGGTCTTATTTGGGTTATTCTGTATCATTTTCATTTGAAACTCCTTACAACTATAACTAATTGAAATACAATTGCCAATTTTGTTACTATTCCTGACTGAACTGAATTTACTCAAAGTTTTCAAAAATACTCAAATTTTGCCAAAAAGAAATATTATAAATAAAAATCTTAAAGAATTGCTTCCAAACTTTCAGAAAACAAAAAATGTATGTTCTAATTTGGCATTATGATGGGTATCTCCGATCCCTAACAAACATGGCCTTCACATTGATTAGATTGAAAGCCTTAAAAAGGAAAGGAACAATTTTTGTGTACTTTACCTGTGTGAAACAGATGTTTTGAAATGGTTCAATAGTGTGAAGAATAATGTTGTAGTATAAAACTTTGTTGTATTGAGCCTTAGTTATGCTATTCATGTAGAAGCCAAGTGATAAATACAATCCACTTAATACCCCTGTCGCACAACAGAGAAAATGGCAAAATGTAAAGGAATTTGGTAAAGTTTTGCCTTTCTATTTTACAGCAAAACAAAACTGATAATAAAAAGGAAGATGACGAACCAGAAATTGATTTGGAAAAAGGGAGCAGTCCTGCAAAAGCTACAAATGCTCCAGCTC